TGTCATCTGCAAACAGTGACAGCTTTACTTCTTCTTTTTCGATTTGGATTCCTTTTATTTCTTTTTCTTTTCTGATTACTGTGGATAAAACTTCCAAAACTATGTTGAATAATAGTGGTGAGAGTGGGCAACCTTGTCTTGTTCCTGATCTTAGTGTAAATTTTTTCAGTTTTTCACCATTGAGAATAATGTTGGCTGTGGGTTTGTCATATATGGCCTTTATTAGGTCGAGGTAGGTCCCCTCTATGTCTACTTTCTGGAGAGTTTTTATCATAAATTGTTGTTGAATTTTGTCAAAAGCTTTTTCTGCATCTACTGAGATTATCATATGGTTTTTATCCTTCAATTTGTTAATGTGGTGTATCACATTAATTGATTTGCATATACTGAATAATTCTTCCATCCCTGGTATAAACCCCACTTGATGATGGTGTATGATCCTTTTAATGTGCTGTTGGATTCTCTTTGCTAGTATTTTGTTGAGGATGTTTTCAGCTATGTTTATCAGAGATATTGGCCTGTAGTTTTCTTTTTTTGTGACATATTTGTTTGGTTTTGGTATCAGGGTGATGGTGGCCTTGTAGAATGAGTTCAGCAGTGTTCCTCCCTCGGCTATATTTTGGAAGAGTTTGAGAAGGATAGGTGTTAGCTCTTCTCTAAATGTTTGATAGAATTCGCCTGTGAAGCCATCTGGTCCTGGGCTTTTGTTTCTTGGAAGATTTTTAATCACAGTTTCAATTTCAGTGCTTGTGAATGGTCCATGTATATTTTCTATTTCTACCTGGTTCAGTCTCAGAAAGTTGTGCTTTTCTAAGAATTTGTCCATTTCTTCCAGGTTGTCCATTTTATTGGCATATAATTTCTTGTAGTAATCTCTCATGATGCTTTGTGTTTCTGTAGTGTTTGTTGTTACTTCACCTTTTTCATTTCTAATTCTGTTGATTTGAATCTTCTCCCTTTTTATCTGATGAGTCTGGCTAATGATTTATCAATTTTGTTTATCTTCTCAAAGAACCAACTTTTAGTTTTATTGATCTTTGCTACTGTTTCCTTCATTTATTTTTCATTTATTTCTGATCTGATCTTTATGATTTCTTTCCTTCTGCTAACTTTGGTTTTTTTTTTTTGTTGTTGTTGTTCTTTTTTTTTTTTTTTGTTACACAGGTCTCTCACTGTTGTGGCCTCCTCTGTTGTGGAGCACAGGCTCCAGACGCGCAGGCTCCGTGGCCATGGCTCACAGGCTTAGCCACTCCATGGCCTGTGGGATCTTCCTGGACCGGGGCAAGAACCCTTGTCCCCTGCATCGGCAGGTGGACTCTCAATCACTGCGCCAACAGGGAAGCCCTGTTGTTGTTCTTGTTCTTCTTTCTCTAATTGCTTTTGGTGTAAGGTTTGGTTGTTTATTTGAGATGTTTCTTGTTTCTTGAGATAGGCTTGTATTGTTATAAACTTCCCTGTAAGAACTGCTTTTGCTACAACCCATAGGTTTTGGGTGGTCGTGTATTCATTGTCATTTGTTTCTAGGTATTTTTCAATTTCCGCTTTGATTTCTCCAATGATCTCTTGGTTATTTAGTAGTGTATTGTTTAGCCTACATGTGTTTGTATTTTTTACAGTTTTTTCCCTGTTATTGATATCTTCTCATAGCACTGTGGTTGGCAAAGATACATGATATGATATCAATTTTCTTAAATTTACCAAGGCTTGATATGTGACCCAAGATATGGTCTATCCTGGAGAATGTTCCATGAGCACTTGAGAAGAAAATATATTGTGGTGTTTTTGAATGGAATGTCCTATAAATATCAATTAAGTCCATCTTGTTTAATGTGTCATTTAAAGCTTTTGTTTCCTTATTTATTTTCATTTTGGCTGATTTGTCCATTGGTGAAAGTGGGGTGTTAAAGTCCCCTACTATGATTGTTGTACTTTCAGTTTCCCCTTTTATGGCTGTTAGCATTTGCCTTATGTATTGAGGTGCTCCTACATTGGGTGCATATTTACAATTGTTATTACTTCTTCTTGGATTGATCCTTTGATCATTGTATAGCGTCCTTCTTTGTCTCTTGTAATATTCTATTTTGTCTTCAATGAGAATTGCTACTCCAGCTTTCTTTTGATTTCCATTTGCATGGAATATCTTTTTCGTCCCCTCACTTTCAGTCTGTTTTGTCCCTAGGTCTGAAGTGGGTCTCTTGTAGACAACATATGTATGGGTCTTGTTTTTGTATCCCTTCAGCCAGTCTATGTGTGTTGGAGCATTTAATCCATTTACATTTAAAGTAATTATCGATATGTATGTTCCTATTACCATTTTCTTAATAGTTTTGGGTTTGTTTTTGTAGGTCTTTTCCTTCTCTTGTATTTCCTGCCTAGAGAAGTTCCTTTAGCATTTGTTGTAAAGCTGGTTTGGTGGTGCTGAATTCTCTTAACTTTTGCTTATCTGTAGAATTTTTTTTCTCCACTGAATGTGAATGAGATCCTTGCTGGGTAGAGTAATCTTGGTTGTAGGTTTTTTCCCTTTCATCACTTTAAATATGTCCTACCACTCCCTTCTGGCTTAAAGAATTTCTGCTGAAAATTTAGCTGTTAACCTTATGGGGATTCCCAGGTATATTATTTGTTGCTTTTCTCTTCCTGTTTTTAATATTTTTTCTTTGTGTTTAATTTTTGATAGTTTGCTTAATATGTGTCTTGGCATGTTTCTCTTTGGGTTTATCCTGTATGGTACTCTCCTGTATGGATTTGATTGACTATTTCCTTTCCCATTTTGGGGAAGTTTTTGACTATAATCTCTTCAAATATTTTCTTAGACCTTTTCTTTTTGTCTTCTTTTTCTGGGACCCCTATAATTCAAATGTTGGTGCGTTTAATATTGTCCCAGAGGTCTCTGAGACTGTCCTCAATTCTTTTCATTCTCTTTTTCTTTATTTTGCTTCCTGACAGTTAATTCCACCATTTTATCTTCCAGGTCACTTATCCGTTCTTATGACTCAGTTATTCTGCTATTGATTCCTTCTAGAGTATTTTTAATGTCAGTAATTGTGTTGTTCATCACTGTTTGTGTGCTCTTTGGTTCTTCTAGGTCCTTATTAAATATTTCTTGTATTTTCTCCATTCTGTTTCCAAGATTTTGGATTATGTTTACTATAATTACTCTGAGTTCTTTTTCAGGTCCGTTGCCTATTTCATCTTCATTTATGTGGGCTTATAGGTTTTTACCTTTCTCCTTCATCTGTAACATAATTTTTTGTCATTTCTTTTTTTTTTGCTGGGTGGTGCTGTATTCCTGGTTGTATGGCCTGAGATGTCCAGCACTGGATTTTACAGACAGTTGGATAGAGCTGGGTCTTGATGCTGAGATGAGGACCTCCAGAAGTTCTCACTCCTACTGATATTCCCTGGGGTTTGACGTTCTCTGTTAGTCCAGCGATTTGGTCTTAGAGCTCCTACCACAGGAGGTCAGGCCCGGCCTCTGGCCTTGGAACCAAGATCCTGCAAGTTTCATGACATGGTAAAAAAAGAAAGAAAGAAAGATAAAAAGGAGCAGTACAATATCAAAGTTAAAAACCAAAATAAAATTAGAAAGATAAAAAATATATTAGGAAAAATAAAAGTTTAATTGAAACAACTGCAACAAGGTAAAATAAAACCACAACAGGAAAAAGAAAAAAAAAAAAAGGTGGTGGTGGGGAATGAGCCAAAAGTAGAGAACAATAACAAAGTATAAAGAATAAAATAAAATTAGAAAAATAAAAGATTTATTAGGAAAAATGAAAATATAAGAGAATCAACAAGGTAAAACAGAATCCCAATCTAAAAGAAGAAAAAAGAAAAAAAAAAAAACAGCCTTGGCTCTGGGGGTGGAGTTTAGGCAGTGGTGGAACTAAGGCAGGGGCAGAGTTTAGGGTGGGGTGGGACTTAGGCAGGTGGGAGCATGATGTTTGTGTGTGGCCCGGGGCCTAGGCTCAGGACCACATAGCCAGAAAAGGCCCTGGGGGCGGGGTTTAGGCTGGACGATGTTCAAGCATGGGGCGGGGCCTCTGCTTAGGACCTGCATGGAAGGGAAGAGGCAGCACGTAGCAAGGAGGGCCTCTGGAGTGTGGAGTTCCGGAGTTTGGAGGAAGGGCCCTGAGTGAGGGTGTATGGGTGGTGTTTAGGCCCAGCACATTGAAGGGGGTCTCAGAGGGGTCTCCGATTGTAGAGGTAGAGCCCTGGGTGGGGGTGTAGGAACAGGGCTTGAGCTCTGCGGGTAAGGCAGGAGACTCCAAGGGCAGAGGAGTAGGCCAGGGAGCCCAACAAGCTCCCCAGTGCCTAAGTGGACAGGGAAAGCACTGGCCACATTCCCTTCCATTCCTTTGCGCCCCTCCCCCACTGTCACCTCCAGGGTCTCCCCTGTAGCCACTGGACCCCTAACCATGAGTGGGTGCCCCTAGGTGTAGGAACTCCTCCCCTCCCCCAGCCACCCCTCAGGGGTGCCGGTCCTAGAGGTCGGGCCTTTACTTTTGCTCCCCCTTCCCTCCCTCCCTCTCCCTCAGATCCGTATGGCTGGAGGATCCCTAGGTGGGCAGAGGATCAGGCCCAGGATCTCAGCAGGCTCCTGGGGGCCCAAGTGGGCAGGAGAAACCTGGCCACACTCCTTGTTCATCCTTTGCCCTCCCAGTGGTTCCCCAATTTCCCCCTTCGAGCATAGGATCCCTTCCCCTCCTCCAGCCAACACTCAGGGACGCCAGTCCCCTCTGACCTCCACTTCTTCTACCCCTACACTCCCCCCACACCCTACCTGGTTGCTGGGGGTTCCTCCTGTCCACTTAGGTGTTCATGGTCCCTTACCAGTGCCCAGTAGGTGCCCTAGTTGTGAGGAGATGCGAATTCCGCATCCTCCTAGTATGCCATCTTGACTCCACCCCCGTATCATACGGTTTTTATTCTTCAATTTGTTGATGTGGTGTATCACATCGATTGATTTGCAGATATTGAAATTGATCAATTGATAGTGATCATGGTGTATGATCCTTTTAATGTATTGTTGGATTCGGATCGCTAGTATTTTGTTGAGGATTTTTTCAAGCATGGTATCTGATGTATGTTTTCACTTGGAGCTGATTAGAAATTGTTATTTGGGTCATATGCTGGAGATGATGTTATTCCTTAAATGTTTGACCTAGGTAAGCAGATTCAAGTCTGATAATCCTAGATATTCAAATTCTGTTGTCAGACAGAAACCAAGCTCTGTTCTCTCCCATAGGATTAGAAGATGTGTTGTTCCTGAATTCCTTTGAAGACTTTCAGCAAATTACATGACAGTGTGAAGGGCAGTTGTCCTGGAATAGGTGGGCTTTCTGTAATGGAAAAAAGAGAAAAATAAAGTAGGTAAATAGGGACTAGAGTGTCAGGCCACTCCTCATGGATATAGAGGTGGTTTGGAGAGCACTAACAGGCAGTAAGGGATATTGACAGCATAAGCAGGATTAAATTTAAAAAACAAGTAGGTTAAAAACTCAGTTATGTGTGGTGATCCTAATACAAGGTAGCTTCTTGGATATGTTTTGGAGCTGTCCTGAGACTTTCTGTATCCTGCTGATATTTGTGCATCTGTAAAATGGCCCCTTTACTTTTACCATATTTGCAAAGTCATAGGTCTGAGAAGAGAGGTAAGAATGTAAAAAGATGTGCCAATCATAGGCTTACCTCTTGAGACTGTTGAACTTCAGAGTAAATTGTGGTGGAGTCATTGTTTTTCACAGGTTTTGGGATTTCCATTTCCTGTAAAACACAATCATACCAATTTGGCTCACATAAAGAGAAATGTACTCATTCACAGATACAGTAAGTCCCCTACTTATGAGACTTCAAGTTGTGATATTTCAAAGATGTGAACGTGTGTTCACATGTCCAATCATGTAAGTTAGTTCACGTGTCTGGTGTACATTGTCATGTCAAGTGGTTGTGTACTTGACAACAAAGTAAGTGCACAAGCTTTTGTGTACTTACTTTGTGTAGCTTACTAATGAAGACCTGATAGAATTGGAGGCTCAAAGAAAGAAGAGAGACAAGAGGAAGAAGAAGTAATTGAAGAACTGAAGAGATTCACGATACAGGAAATGGAAAGGGGATTTTCTTTATTTGAAGAGGCACTGTTAGTTTTTGAGGCACAGGACGCAAATATAGAACAGTACATGAAGGTTGCTGCAGCCGTTCAGAATGCAATCCAGTGCTACCGTGTCATTTATGGTGAGAAAAAAAAGCTACTACCCAGACATCACAGGATCATTTTTTCAAGAGAATAGTTAAAATTGAATGCAGCAAGGAACCAGAACCTGTGACATAAACATCAGGCATGGGTGAAATTGCAGCTTGCCCTCCACCTCCTATTGCAGGAGATCCTTCAGCTCTGCCATCTCCCATGTCCTCTTCCTCTGCCAGTCAGTAACTCTTCTTGCCTGTTCACTCGATACCAGCCCCTGTAAGCCAGCTCTTGTACCGTATTACTGTACTTTTCAAGGTATTGTACTGTAAGATTAAAAATGTTTTCTTTATTTTTTTTGTTTTTTTGTTTTTTATGTATTATTTTTGTGAAAAGTATTATAAACCTATTACAGTACAGTACAGTACTATATAGCTGATGGTGTTAGTTGGGTATCTAGGTTACTTTTGTTGGACTTAAGAACAAATTGGACTTACGAGCATGCTCTTGGAGTGGAACTCATTTGTATGTAAGGGACTTACTGTATATTCTTGGGAAAAGCAGTGTGACAAATGAGGGATAATGTCAAAGTTCTTTAGGAGGAAGGCTAGGGAGTGTCTAGCAAGAGAAGCTGGAAACAAAGCACCACTAGCTCTTAAAACTGTGAAGGATTAGTCACCTTTCCTGAGCCCCAAACAGAAGCACAACACTCCAGCAAACCGGTGGTCTCAAGAACCAGAGAGAGAAGGGTGACCTTGTTGGCAGTGGTGTGAAGGAAAGAAAACATTCTTGTCCTGCATCCAACTCTACTCTCCTTCCTCTATTTTTAGGAACTAACCTACACACCAGATGGTTATTGTATTACATCTTTTGTCTCAGATCTTTACTACCTATAACTGGAGTTATTGCCTGCTTCATTTTACCCCTGTGATTCTATTTGCCTGGTCATCATGTCACTTGGGTTCTCCTCAAGCATGGGGAACTGGTAGAGCAGGAATATCTTGTCTTAAGAATGGCTCTGCTTGGAATAAAAAGTGTGGCAGTAACAGAAGTCCCCCATCCTCATAGTTTTTGGCATTTTAAATTAACTAAGGCATATTTGGGGTGTTATCAAAACCTCTGAAACTCTCCAAAGTACCATGTTTTGCTAAGCAAAAGTTAACAAACTTGCCGGAGAGTTTCTTTGTTTGTTGAGAGTAATTCATCTTGTCTTCAAGAGGAAATTGGAAAGGCAGTTGAAATATCTGAAGTGAGAGCACTTCTTATTGTTGGCTAGCTTCAGAGTCTACTTTGCAAATACCTGTGAGGGGCTTTGTGAAGGGAGATTTGCTTGTGGAATCCAAGATTTCTAGCCAGACCATTGTTTCCATCAACTGAAGAATGCTGGCTCTCTTGGGTTATTTTTCAGAAGACATGGAAAATGGCCTCCCAGGATGTGTAGTGTTATTTAGAAATGTACCACCTGCAGGTGCTTTATTTTGCGGTTGATGGGGAATTACTGATGCATGGTGAGGAGTTCCTGATGCCTGACCAAGGCCATCCTGTTATGTTGCTAGAGGGCAGGGGACGATTGAGGACTGCTCATGCCGTTAGTGTCCTCTACTGTTGAGGGATTGCAAATTCTTGCCCCTCTTCCCTCTTGAGAGACTCTTCTGAGGTCCCCTATTTCCCCTACATCCAGGATGAGAAAGCCCCTGATACAGAATCATGCCCTCTGGGGGCTCTCAAGCTTAAATGAACTCTGATCCATCCAGCAAGTATTTACTGAGCATCATGCTAAGACATAGGGGAAGAGAGAGGAAGACATAATTTTCACTTCCAGGCAGCTTGTAATTAAGCTGAAGGGACAAGACTCACTGATGCATTAAGCAGTTAGATTAAGCAATGTAAAGCAGGGTATGAGTCAACATTCTACTGAGGTGTGAGCATTGAGGTCTAGAAAGGTCCCGCACATAACTCTGCAGTTCTTGTCGCTGCCTTTGCTTCTCCTCAATGGTGTATGTCATTTGAATTTAGAAAAGTTTGGTGACAATGTCATGTATAATGACTGTAAAAATAATGACCATGAAGGAGTATAAACCTGAAAGTACTCACCCTCTTTGAATGGGTGACCTGAGCATACACAGTGCTCCCTGGAGAGAAGGAAGCATACTCTACGTTCCTCACAGTCTCTGCTGTTAACACAGGAAGGCACAGTCAGTAGCTGAAGGACTCTGGTCTGCTCTCCCAGGACCTCATCTACCCCAGGCCATTCTCTGACCCCAGAGAGGCAATTGTTCAAAGCATGGCCCTTCCTTAGGGTTCATTCATTTTTGACAGTCTTTGGAGTTCTGGGTTGAACCAGAACATTCTCAGCCATGTGATCTATTTCTGACCTCATCTCCTCAGGGGCACATGGTCTTGAGCTATCCTAAAGCCTCAGAGTCTCCCTCTGGCTTCACAGGAAGGGAAGCTTCTGGGACCAAATAACATTGCCTACACAGGAGCTAGAGAACCTCACTGGTGAACATAATGGAGCCAGATTATTTCACATATATAATACTATTAAACTTTTCAGAGCTCCTTAGAATGGGTTTGATTATATTAGAGATGAGGAACTAGAGGCTCAGAAAGTTTTACAGACTTGGTGCAAACTCACACAGGAAGTGATCAGACAAGAATTTGAATGCATGCCTTCTGGCTCCAACCCTCATGCCAGGTCCTCCATGCATGAAGTCATGTATCTCTCACGCATGAAATAAGACTCAATGCCAGTCTGAGTCCAGAGCCTGTGTTTCTGTCTCTATATCATACTTTCTCTTTTGACTGTGTCCACTCAATGCCCAAACCCTGGCTGAAGAGAGTGATGGGGTCAGGCAATTTGTCTTTGGGCATTTGATGCTGTAATCCTGTCTTTACCCTGCACCTCCTGTTGATAATGGACAGGTCATGAGTCCTTTCACTGGCGCTTAGTCTCTCCATTGGCAGAGTGGGGAATGACCCTAATCCTACCCAAGAAATTGCATGAGTGACCGGTTTGCATGCTTGTAAGGGACCCTGTAAGTCACACAGGGGACAAACTTGTGCAGTTCCAGGTGTTATCCCCTTGCACTATCTGGTCCATCTGAGTAATGACATTCTGACTCCCTCCTCTCTCATTATACAGCCCTCTGACTGCCCTCCTTTCCTTTTCACTTGGTTCTTCCTATCTGTTTTATGATTGGGAGTTAAGAGTCTGGAAGCTCACCAGGACACTGGGTTTGCTGAGTAGAGAATTGAAAGAAACCTGAAAAATAAAATTAATTGAAATCTGTTGAAATCTGTGACTATAGTGAGAGAAGCCTTCCACCCCCTACCCCTAGATGTGTCTCTCTAGAGGGTGTGGTGGAAGGGGACCCGAAAGGGTCCTGCATTTTCCAGTAAGACACTTTTCTAGGAGATTAGCACATGTGTATTCACAACCCAGGTGTTGTCCCAGTGGACCAGCTGAGCCAGGGTTTGCATGCTCCCTCCCTTTATCTGTCTTCTACAAGACAGAGTCTTTTGGAGGCCCCAAATGCTAAGTCTCTGGAACCTTGGAGAAGAAACAAGTAGGAAGAAAGGAAACCTATTTTTTTCCTCCAAACAAATAACAACACGATGATGACCACGACTATACATATTGAAGAAACTGCCACTACAATCCACATGGTATCCAGGTGTTCATTTTTTTCATTAGTAACACCTAAAAAGAAAAAAAAAGAAGTTGCACTTGAGACACATCGAGTGAGGCCCAGAGTGGTTTTTTAGAGCCTCTACTGCATCTCTTCTAGACCATCTTTGGGAGTTGGGTGGGTTCATCTATACCCAGAGGCTCTGGGGGTATGAGCAGGCTTTCTGGGAGTGGGAGTCCCATTTAGGCAGACAGGGCATGGTGGAGCCTGGTAGAGCCAGTGGGAGGAAGCAATCCTGCCTTCCCAAGGACTTTGCTCTTGGGATCTGAGTAGGCTGGAGAAAGAGTTGGTGGAGGGGGAGGGAGGAAGGAGAGACCTCTGAGGGAGTGAGAGGCATGGAGCCCCAGGGGATGTCTGTCCCTTCCCAGTGTCACTTGGCTGTCTCCTACTGGGCTGCTGTTTTAGGAATCATAAAGAGCACAAGAGACACCCCACACCTCACAGCCACTCAAGGCTCTCAGAGAGACCTGAGACATACTTACTTTTGCAGAGACTCTGGACAGAGACAGAGAAGGATGAATTGCTGACAGCATTCTCAGCTACGCAGGTGTAGGTCTCTTCATTGAAACTCTTGGGGTCCCAGGAGATAGTAAGGTTTGCTTCACTTTGAAGTGTGTTTCCTGAGACCTGCCACCTGAATAAGATGTTATCATTTGGATTCTCCACAGAGCAGGTCAGGAGGATCTCACAGGTCCTATTATTAGACCATTTGGTGTGAGGGACAACTTGTAAGTTCCTCAGTCGTCCTGTGTGCAGAGAAGAGGCCTGGATTAAGGACAAATGTCTTGGCTCAGCCCTCTGTGAAAAATATCTCTCACCTCGATGTTTCTGTATTCCACCTGACACAGCTGTGTACTCTGTAAATAAGTCTGCATGTACTGCCTAATTGATGACATCAAGGTATGGGGTGACCAAATGATAAGGGACATCAGTATGAGACAGAGTAGGCAGTGGGAGAGAGGGAAGGGAAAGACTGGGGTTGTCGCCAACTAGTCAGGTGATTTTAAGCTGATCACTTTAATTTTTGGAGCTCCAGTTTCTTCCTGGGGGTCCTTCTAACACTTGTTCACTGCCCCTTATGTAAAGATAATTTGGAGACTAAACTAAGGGCCAGCCCTACCTCAGCCAGGTCCAAAACCAGAAGACCAGGCACACTTCTCCATTGTCAGAATTCCCTAGATGGGATGGAAGATAAAAGCTTAACACTCTTGGAGAACTGTATTTCCCACATCTGTGGGAATATTGGTTCTCACTGGAGCTGATGCTGGCTCAAATGATGACAAAGAGACCTTGATGTAGAGTGTCACCAAGTCAGAAAGGGAAATGTTGAGAATTAAAGAATTAGGAAAGGAAGAAGTGAAGAAACAGAGAGAAAGCAAGAAATTCTGGGGAAGAAAGAAGTGCAATATATTTGGGACTACATATGTTGCAGAAATATCCGAGAGCAGAGACCAGAAAATATCACCTCTAAGGTGTCAGTGGCTGTGAATCAATGGGGACATGAAAGCAGTACAGAAAAGCCCTCTGACCTAGACTCCGCCCAAGGGTTGAAATAAAGGTGACCCAATAGAAACAGAATGACTCCAACTGTCTGATTAGAAGAGATTAAGTAATGCTTTAAGCTTAGCTAACTGAGTAGGGGTGGTGGAACATAACTTGCTGGAACAGAATTTTCATGTCATGGCAAGAATGTTGGATTTAGAGTTAGGAAGACCTAGGTTAGAATCACGGCTTTGTCATTTACTGGCTACATGGACAAATTTTAGTCTCTTCATGCCTAAGTTTCCTCATCTATAAAACTGGGCAATAATACTTACTTCTTGGGTAATTATGAGGATTAAATGAGACAGCATGTAGCACAGAAATGGCAAATATTTGGCATGAATATTACATCTCCTTCAGCCAATGTCTGTTGCTGACCTCAAAAACCTATCTTGATATCTTTCTCCACTTGATGAATATATAACTACTGACTTGACATTTCCACCTGGATATAATGTGTATCTCCAACTCAACATGTTCAAAAAGACTCCTGTTTTTCTCTCCAAAACCTTCTCAATCTGCAACTTTCCCCATCTTAGTTGACAACAACTGCATCCTTCCAGTCATCCAAGCCAAAAGCCCTGGAGTCATCCCTGACTCATCTTTTCCTCTCATACTCCCACATCACAAAATCCTGGTGGCTTTACCTCTAAAATATATCCAGAATCCAACCACTTCTCACTACCTCCACTGCTACCACTCTGGTCCAAGCCAGTATTACCTCTTGCTTAGATAGTTGCAATGGCTTCCTAATTGGTTCAGTGGCTTCCACACTTGTCCAAAGAGATCCTTTAAATAAGTAAGTTAAATTATATTACTTCTCTGCAAAACCCTCCAATTGTTGTCCGTTCCCCCAAAAATGAAGCCAAAGTCCTTGTGATGGCTCTTATAGCCTTAGAAGATATGGCCCCCTACTTCCTTACTGACCTCATTTCCTATTGCTCTCTCTTACTCTGCTCCTTGATGTTTGACCTTCTTTATATTCCTTGAGCTGCCAGACACAGGGAGTGCTTGTGTGGGATGGCTCTTCATCCAGATATCTGCATGGCTCACTCTTTTACCTCCAACATGTCTTGGCTCTAATGTCATCTTCTCAATGAGGCCTATTATGATCACTCCATTTAAAATTGACCACTGCTTTCTGGCACTTCTGATGCTCCTTATTCTGTTCTAATCTCTCTTTCTCCATAGCACTCGCAGCTTACTGTGTCATTTGTTTATATATTATGTGTACTATTTATTATTGCTCCCATATTCCCTACTCAGAATGTCAGTTCCATGAGAGCAGGGACCTTTGTTTTGTTCACTGGTGTATTTCAAGGGCCTAAAACAGTGTCTCGTATATTATCCCTGATTAACAAATATTGTTGACTCAGTGAATAAACAACATGACTCTGATATCTTTCTTAACACTGAACCCTAGAAAGTTACTCCCAATTAATTGATATTGGCCCATAAGATCAAATCTTTGCCATCCCTAGCCTAGTACATACAGAACAATTGGCCAGTGTTTTTTAAAAGAAAACCTATATAATTTATACCTTAAAATACCTTTGCACAATTGTAAAACATGTTGGTGTAGCTTACACATCTCTCTGTGTATGTGCTTTTGAAGGAGAGGCACTCCAAAAGGCCCTGAGAAGCCATTGGCATTCAGCCTCAGGAGTGTGGCTGTTGCAGAAGAAGTTGTGCTTGGTCTTCTAAATAGTGGCAGAAGAAACTTGTCTCAACAAGTGTAATGGAGCCTAGTACAGGGTCTAGAAGTCACAAGATTTAGGTTCTAATCTTAGCTCTGTCACTAACTGCTGTGCAATGCCATTGAATAGTTTTGTTGCTGGACCTCAGTCTAGCTCCAAATGCCATGCTTTTTACCACTAAGCTATAGTGCACACTTGCAGTCACATAGACTTGAAATATGTACTATTTTTCAGTCCATACACAATTAAACCCCATGATTTGACTCACTGAAGATCCTCAGATCATAATCGGTAAACAGTGAAGAGGTCACTGTGGTTATCTGGGCTCTGTAAAGTCCTGAGTCTGCCATCGTCAGGTTGCTGAGCTGCAAGGAATAGGACTCGGTGACATTCAATCGATTTTTCCGCTTTGGGTCAGTCACCCTGTTTAGTGCATCATTTGGCGCTATGAAGATGGCAGATTTTCCCTCATGTAGCCAGGTGATGGACGTGATCTCCTCTTCCACAGGAAACTTCAGGGTAAGTGTTACAGACTCCCCCAGGACCCCGTTCACAATCAATGGGGTTGAGCTGGTTTGTGAAACTGTGTTCCCTGTGAACACAGAAAAAAAACTGCTATAACTCTCCCTGCCCTCCCCCTGTTCCCCACACCCTTTCTCCATCCTCTGCCAGTCAGTTAGAGCTCTCTGATACTGAAGTCCAGAAATATGATGAAAAGGGAAAGGGTTAGGAGGAGTGTTGAAATGGGCAATCACAGAGGCTTCACCCCAGCAAAATGTCTGGCACTCTTGTTTAATGAGTAGTTGATCCAGATGATCCTGGCCAGTCTACCCTCCCACACTAGCTGGTCACTCCTGAGTCATGGCCACACTATCTGATCCCAGCTTCTGAGTTATCTGGGCATGAGATAGAGAGGGACAACTATATCAACTCTCTGGCACAGACTTCAAAACCCACAAGTCTTTGCTGATGAAATATAATCAAAGCTTGACATTTATTAAATACTTACTGTGTTCAGCATAGTAGGCTTGTGAGATTTAGAGGACTAGTAATAGGAATTTACAGTTCTTATACATTATTTCATTCGACGCTGACAACAATTCTGTGAGGCAGTAGGATGAATATTACCATCTCCATTTATAGAAAGGATCTGAGGCACAGAGAGGTTACCTAGTTTTCCCAGGGTTACCTAGCTAAGGAATAACAGAGTCAGGATTCAGACCCAACTCCTTTGACTCTAACTACTTTGTGCTCTTTCCATGATACCAGAAGATATCTTTTATTCTCCCAAAAGATTATTGTCTAGTAGTTGAGGAGATAAAAACTGATAAGCATAAAAATAATAGTTAACCTCAAAGTAACATACAATGACTATACTCTCATGAGCCTCTCTCAGAGCCATTAATGTTCAAGCAAAAAAGGTGAAATAGTCACAGTCATTCTTAAAGAAGATGTTTCTTTACCATCTTTTGCCAAATTCCTAGCATTTATCATACCATTTTTTTAGCCCTCTGTTTACTTGTTTGTCCAGCTGACCATGTCTTAATTACCTTTATATCTCAGCACTGTGCCTAACACAAAGTAGGATATGGAAATGTTTGAGTGAATCAATGAATAGGTAACCATTACCACAACCTCAACCTTCTCAAGATCTCTTAATTCTCAGGAGAGGATCTGAGTAGGTGAGGAAATGTCTCAGGATCTTTGCACTCAGCTCCTGGGTGACCTCACACTTCCTCTCTTTTTCTCAAATTGTCACATGCATGCCCATCACATGAACACTGCCACCAATTCCCCCTCTTTACTACATCTTTCCCATCAGCACTTTAACATGCTGTTGTTTGTCATTTGACCATTCTTCCCTCTCAGAATCACATGGGTGAATATCACAAGCAAAATCTTGAGTGAAAAAAGAAAATACAGATACAAATAGAATACAGTGGCATGCTTACATTTATTTAAAGTTAAAAAACAGGCAAAACAAATCTATTACTTTAGAAGTCAGGATAGGGTTACCTTTGAGGAGGAGGGAAGGATAGCAAATAGGAGGGAGCATAGAGGGGGTTTTCTGGGCTGCTGATAATGTGCCATTCCTTAACCTGTGTCTGGATACACAGATTTATTCATTTTATGATTATTCCTTGAGCTGACACTTAGGATTTGTAATTTTCTCTTTGTATACTATATTTCAGTAAAAGAGGTTAAAACAACAAGAAAAAACAAAACAAAACAATTACAATGGCCTATGAGGGCCAGAATGATCTGGTCATTTTTCTCTTTTTAGCCTAATTTCCTATAACTCTCCCCCTTACTCCCTTTGCTCACACTATGCTGGCCTGGTTATTCCTTGAACAGGCCAGAGTCGTACACTTGTAATTCCTTCTGCCTAGAATGCTCTTCCCCCAGGTGTCCACATGGCTCACTCTTTCGTCTCCATAAGGTCTTTAATGCAAACATCCCCTCTCAAGGAGGCCTTCTGTGACCACGCTTTCCTCACCACAAGCCCTCACTCCTGTGTACTCATTGCCTTTGAATTTGTTTTTCTCTGTAATACTTACTTTCTACCATACTCTGTAATTTGCATATTTGTTTTTTTGTTCTTTTCCCCTTCTATAAGAATGTAAGCTCCATGAAAGCAAGGATTTTTTTCTGTCTTGTTCACGGTGCTGGACATTCTTGAACAGTGCTTGGCACAGAGTAGGCACCCAATGAATACTGCTGGGTGAATGAGCACAACTCCATCCCTTGTTTTGCAGGTTCTCTGCCCAGGATGTTTAGGACCGGTTTCTCTTTGTAACGGGTCTCGGCATACCCTGTGGCCCAAAGACTCTCCAAGAACTGTTCTTCCTTCTCTAGCACAGACCTTTAAGTTTCCTTTGTTGTTATAGATTGAAATCATTCATTTTTTTAACAGGCCATTCATTGTACTATTTGCTCAGCTTTATGCCAATTCAGTGAGTAAAAGCCTTAGAAATCATGGCATTCAGACCATACTTATTAGATTCATTTTATGTACCAGTTTCTGGACTGAAGACTGAATATAGAAATGAATAAGACATTATCTGTTCTCTGGACTCACCGTTTGGTAGAGGAGTCTGACAGGTAAACATGTAGCTATGGTGTGGTGAGTTAGGCGTTGACCTAGGATAGGGTTTGCTTCTGCATTGCCCTCACACCACTAATTGCACCCTGCACACTCAATATCGAGTGTTTCTTTCTCTTAGATATAGTTAAAATGTTCTTTTCCTCTATTTTTCATAATCTTGAGGTAGGGATTATGCTTATCATCTCTGTATTCCTAGCATTTAGCACAATTTTGAGCTCAATAAATGTTGAATTGATAGAGATAACTGCTCTATAGGAGCACAAATAGTGAAAATGATGGGGTAGAAAGGGTTGGGGGTTGTCAGGGAACACTTTGCAGAGAAGGTAACATTGTAGTTGGGTTTTGAATAAAAACAAGAAGTTCTCCATTGCTTGATTATTTCAAGAATGCCCGGCTCTTTCTTTGCTCCATTGTTCCCTTTGCCTGAAATACCTTGCTCACATTTTCCCATCTGGTGAGCTCCTATTTATCCTTCAAGGATAAGTTCAAATATCTGTTTGCCTTTGTTTATATTTGTGGGGTTTGCATTTGGTACAGGGGAGGAGACAGGAGTTTGTGGTTGGAGAAGAGGAAAAGTTATAGAAGGAGGAGAAGGGGTTGGTAGAAGTAATTCCCTGCAAGTCTAAGAAAAAAAAGAAGATAAGAACCACTGTGCTTAAGGAAGGTGAAGGTAAGAAGTTACTGAAAAAGCTCAAAGGCTCCTCTGAAAGACTTTGGACTCTAGGAGAGCTGCTTTGGGACCCAGATGACGTGGTGTGGCCCAGAAGGCACAAGAACGCCTTTTTCTCTACTCTGCCTGGGATCAGCACTGATGCTTTGGGAATGTCTTGGGTCAGCATCCTTGGCATGGATATCCACGTTCTCTGCAGAGCATTGAGGTCTTCTGTAAGTGGTTCAGCTGGCTGCAGATTTGGAGGACTAGAATCAGAAGAGACTAAGAATTGGGAGGATGCCTCATGACCTTAACAGAAGGCTGCTTTGGGGGCCTATGGGAAGCATCCCTTATAAGTCACTGGGAGCCACTTGGAGCATGTGGGTGGTGCTGAGGTCCAACCCCTGGTGTGGATGTTCAGTCAGCAGAAATTTGGAGTATGTTTGTTTACATGTTTCACTCACTCTGGAAACATGAGTAATGTATCAGTCAGCTCTTTATGCCCCCAGAATCTAGCCCAGGGATCTTGGAATACTAAATAGGTTGAGATCAGAATGTAAAGTGTCTTGAATGATTATCTGAATGATTTTTTTTTGAATATATTAAGAAACATGGAGTATTTTTGAGAAATGCAAAGGAATAAAGAAAGCAGGTAAGGCTGAACTGATTCTGAAAAAGAGAAAAGTCAGAGAAACTTTGGGATATCTAACCTAGGGGAATGGCTTAGGCCTAGGACTGGCTTAGGCCTATCTATAGGAAAAAGAGATATAGTGGGTTGTTTCAGCTCAGCATGAAACAAGTTCAGAAGGAGGGTAGGGGCTGATTTCTCAAGAGATTTAATAGAGAAGGGAAGAGATATATAAGGCAGGATCTTGAGTAAGACAAGTGAAAATGAAAATACAACATACCAAAACTTACAGGGTGCAGCGAACACAGTGCTCAGAGGGAAAATTTGTTCTTTGAAAAGATCAGGAAGATTGACATAATTTTAGCTAGATTAATTGAGAGAACAATAGAGAAGGCTCAAATTACTAAAATTAGAAATGGAAGAGTGGACATTACTGCAGACCTTATAGAAATAAAAACGATTATAAGAGAATAATATGAATAACTGTATGGTAACAAATTAGATAGCCTAGATGAAATAGACAAATTTCTATAAACAAACAGATTACCATGACTGACTTAAGAAGAAATAGAAAATCTAAGAGGATCTTTAACAAGTAAAGATATTGAATCAGTAATCAAAAACCTTCTGGCAAAGAAAAGTCCAGGACCAGATGGCTTCACTGGTGAATTCTACCAAATATTTAAAGAATAATTAATGTCAATATTTCTCAAACACTTCCCCAAAAAAGGAGGGGAGAAAACACTTTCTAATTCATCCTATGAGGCCGACATTACCTTTACCAAAGCCAAAGATATCATACACACACACACACACACACACACACACACACACGCACGCACACACAAACTATGGACCATTATCCCTTATAAGCATTGATGGAAAAACCCTCAACAAAATATTAACAAACTGGATCCAGCTGCATAGTAAAAGGATTATACACCAAGACTAATTGGAATTTATTTCAGGAATGTAAGAGTGATTCAACATATGAAAATCAATCAATGCAATATGCTACATTAATATAATTAAGGGAAAAAGACACATGATCATCTCAATTAATACAGAAAAAAACACTTAACAAAATCCAACACTGTTTCACACATAAGAATCTAAAAGTAGAAGGGAAATTCCTCACCTTGATAAAGGGCATTTGAGAAACCCACATCTAACATTCTATTCAAGAATGGAAGGGACTTCCCTGGT